ATTAATCGAAAGAAATTATATTGCGCCGGCCGGCTGTCGATGAGATTTGCTGTGCCTGTTGGGGCCGCCGAAGCCCCTACCTTTCGCGGTGTGTGTGTGTGTACCGTACCTGTGTGGAATTGAAATTAAAGGAAGAAATCAGCCAGAAAAATGTTGTGGCGTGCAATTAAATTTTGTATCTGGATGCCACTCGTTTTCGCTGTCTTCGTTCCGTTCCCCTTTCGTTACACCCAAAGGTGGCCATAAAACGAGTTTGGTTTGAATTTGATTTCGTTTGGAGTTTACTTCCAGAATAAGGAGCTAATACGGTTTGGCTTGGTTTGTTTTTGTCGAAAAAGATTCGGATTTGGTTCAGATTTTAGAGTCCAAATCAAAATTTCACTTGCTTAAACAAAGTTAAATGGGTTTTTTTATATTTATTTTATTATTATTTATTTTATTGTGATGAAACTTTAAGTTGATGTCAATAAATTAGATTCACGTTCGGAGTATATTCTCCATTAAATCTTCATTTATCCTGACATACTTGAGAATTCCCGTCTTTCTATAAGCTTCAATGCAAATCTAATATAATATCTTGAGGTAGTGGAATGTTATTTATCCATTGATGCTTAGGGATCTTTACTCATCTAAGCAAACTGCTCCAAAGACGTTTACTATCGTACATTGCATAAGTACAAGAACATCACTCAAAGATCAGCCTCCCTCTGCCAAACATTTATCCAAACACATCAAAACATCATACAAAACTGTTTTCCCATGGAAAGAGGACCATGAGGACCAGTACCAGAACCAGAACCAGAAACCTTTAAACAAATCAAGCCACGACCACACAACAAACCCAACAACGTCAACGACTGACACAGAACAAAAAAAAAAAAAACCCCAATGGAAAAAATGGCCAAAAGCGAGAGAGAGAAAAACTTGTTGACACAATACCCAAAACCCATACAAAACCCATTGCTCTCCAGGTGGGTGTCTCTTTCTGGTCCGCTATAGCCCTCTCTGTCTCTCTCTCTCACGCTCTCGCTCTGTGAGCAGTTCGACTGCTTGCTGGTTCGTTCACTTTCTGTGTCGGCACAATTTAAGTTTCAATAAGCGACTATTTGTTGCAATTTAAACTGAACGCGTTTATAAATTGACGACGGAAACTGCCGACGACTGCGGCGGCAGTTTGCCGCATAGACAAGGTAGGAGAATGGTTCATAGAGAGAGCGAGAGAAGAATGGAGGGGTGTGGCAGGGGGAGGTGCAACATAGCCAACTGGGGAATTGCCTAGCTAGGCAAAGACCCGATCCGGGAGAGTGACAGGGCCCCCGGACGTTTAAATTGAGCGAACACATGCCACTCCCCCCCACCCTCCTGCCGCATGCTGCTGTAAAGTCTAATTTTCGGTTTTTGTTCCAAAGTTAAATATGGTCTGACATTTAAATTACATAAATTAATTCATACTAGTTATGGTTTCTCTGCAGCGATATATTTTATTAGTGGTTTGCTTTCATTATTTTGTTTATTTTTTGTTGCTGGTTTTTGTGGTTTCATGTGCCGGTTTTTGTGGTCGCCTAATTTTCGCGGTTGTCATTTTTTAATTTAATTATTTTTATAGTTGTCGGGTAAACAGTTAGTGGTTACTAATGGGAGCTGGAGTCTGTCATAGGGGATATAATTAAAGTAGTATTTAGTTTTGATGGGTTCGAATTCCCCTGAGGGCTCCTTCTAGTCGTCCCACCCAAGAAATGCCATTAAGGCGGCCATCAAAGCAATTTAAGAACACAAAAGACCTCAATAATTTAATCCAAAAAGCCACGGAACGGAACACTTGATTTGCTAAACAATAAATAAAAGTATTGGAACAGCTTGGACCAAGCCCAGACCAGACGCGCTGGCACCATAACAATACATTAATGATAATTTTAACACTTGGCTAATAGTTTTTTAATCAAAAATTTAACGCCACACTCAAGTTACAATAGTTTTCGTTGGGTACACACCCAGCCGCATCCCCATCCCCATCCCCATTCCCATCTCCTTCCCCCATCATCATACAAAACTACTAGCATACACCATCCTATCCTATCTGACCACACGCATGTTGGGAGAAACCTTAATTACTTTTCAAAGTGCAGCCAAAGATGATAAATTGTTGGATGGGAAAGCCGAAGATCGGCGAAGCGACCTGATCCCAGACTGACTGTCTGGAACGATCGCTGGGGCTTATTGAGTTACGATGTCAGTGGAAGATCATTAAAATTACAGGCCAGTGCCAGCCAGAGACTGGGTTCCCAAGAAATCTCAAGGGACAGAGGGACCAGCTGGCCAGCAGCATCAATCCCCCTCCCATTCCCCATCAAAAGTTTTGTAATTTTTCAATATTCGCACACACAAAACGAAATTAGCTCGTTGGACGATCGGGATCGGAATCGGACTGGGGTTTGGGTTTGGGATTGGGTTGGAATTGGTATCGGAATCCCAACGCATGCAAATTTCACAGGAATCAAAAAGCAACACAGCAACAGCAAAAAGATGAAGAAAATAAATACAAATAATAATAAAAAGGCTTATCCCCAGCCTCAAAAGTCGTTGCGGCGATGTGACTTATGGCTGAGCCCTGGCCAGGCCTCGGACACAGTTGCTTTCGTCTCGCTGATGCACTGAGAGAAATTATTATGTCCCGGCAAGTGTGGGTAATACAATATACGGGAAATAGGATTATAGTGATTCTGAATTGTAAACGAATTGAGAAAGAAGAAATGACTTCAGGACTTCTAAGGAAACAAATTCAGAAACAAACACTGCCTGCAGTGTGCGCCCTCTAGCAGAGGTATACGAAGAGAAATGTAGATGTCAGATGTGGCAGATAGAATATTTAAAAATTCCACACAAATCATAATTTCACATATGAAGATACGGACCGAGTACGGGTATAAAAGTAGAGTCGCGGCGACAGAAGCGTCTCAACGTTCCCCTCCTTTGTATTGGACCAGAAATATTGTATATATAAGGCAGAAATTCTGTTGTATTTTCTGTCAGATTTCTTTCAGTGCAGCTTCGCCTTTAGTATATGGTGTGTCTCGTTTCGTTTGGACCATGTGCAGACAGTTGTGAAATTATATTTGCGCATCGTCATGGCCATTGTGTAGCGGAGCTGCAACAGGACTGCGGCTAACCAGAGATGGAGACTCTGCATGGACTGGACTGGACTGAACTCGACTCGACTCGACTCAACTCTCGATTTGTCAGGGCAGACGAATAGCTTAACAGTTGGGCCACAAGGAGTCGGAGCTTCGTCTGTGGCAGGTTGTTGCAGGGCCTACAAGTCGAGCGGTGGATCGAGCCGCGAGAACTATGGGAGCTAGCCGCGCATCATCGTCATCGTGCTATTCAAACAAATGATTTACAAAATGTTAAATGAATTATGCATTTTGCATATGCGCCCTGGCCGTATCGTGCAATTTTTCATATCCAATGGCCCCCAGACCCAGGATAACCACAGAGAACCAGGGAGAACTAGAGGGGACGAGGGGAGCCAAAGGAGAACGAGAGAACCTGCGCCAGGGAACATTTTCTTGGTGTTGGCTTTAATAAATTGGCGTGGGGTGCGCCCGGAGCAAATCTTCCTCATCCACAACTTCTTGATGCTGTTGTCGCAGTCTTGTTTAGGCCGTGTCCCGGCCGAATGTCCATGGCCATGTCATGGCATTGGTATTGGGCGGCATGCGGTGACTTAAGCAAATATAGCCAATGGACAACGCGAATGGGCGAAAAAAAGGAAGGCTCATATAATCAAGTCATATAAATTGAGTGCATTTTTCATAATAAATGAAGGGAATTGTCTAAATTATGCCGTGTGCGCTCACCTGATGACCACAAGAGTCAAGTGGGCCCCATCGGGTATCCATCCATGTGGGCAGTGCGTGTGGGAAATTGCTTAGATGGAAATTGGGAATCAGTTAGATTATCGCCGGCAACAGGTTGCAGAGACATTGCGATGATAGGATAAGAAATTTAACTGGCAAACTGATCCCTCAGGCAATGTGGGGATGGGGCGAAGGTTGCTCTCAAATTACTCCATCAAATTGGGAGCCAAAGCTCTATCAATTTCCCAATGCAAAAGATCACGTAGCCATTTCATCACCAGCAACAGAACTTCAAGATATCCAAGTACCAACAGATAATAGCCAGAGGTTCTCTCGCTCCCCGAACCCAAGGAATTGTATCGTAAATTATAAACATATCCCGACGCACTTCATTATAAGAGAAAACTAGGGAACGAATACCAGCAAACCACTCACTCAGTTGTACGAGTATCTGTACATATGTATATGTACTTATGTATGTGGATCACATTAGGCAGGTGAGATATGTTGATGTGCCTTAAAACAATATTTGCGTGCCTCCTTCTATGCCACCGCCACCACCACCACCGATTGCAGCCCAAAAGATCTGTGTTTGGTTAGCAATTAAGTGCATCCCGAGTATGCAAGGCAGCATAACCCTAGGGAATGGTACGGTGCCGCCCGATTCCTGATCGATCATGTAAACAACTCCAGCATATTTAGTATGTGTAAAGAAAATAAATGGTCGACTATCCATGAATAGGGAGTGGGGGAGAAACGAGAAAATGGAGAGTGCACGACTAGACTAACAGTAGCCATGGGCTAATTATGCTCAAAGTCAGCTACCCAGCCCATGCCCATGCCCATGCCCATGCCCATTCCCATTCCCATGCTCTGGCTCGTACTCTACTGCAGAGGTCTTGTCTCCCACTTGAGAGCTGCGCTGCGCCCTTCAGCAAGATACTTGGCCTGCACTAAAGTTGATTTATGCACCTCTGCATAGGACCCCAGAAACGAACCAAGCAGACTGCCAGGCGGCTGCCCTGCTGCTGAAAGTTTCAAGTAGTTTCCTCAACCAGATCCAGACCAGACCCCGTCCCCGACCCAGGCACCTTGCAACCTCATTTCCCAGCCAACATTTGGAGCATTTAAATCATTCTGCCCGGAATTGTCTTGGCCATTGTTTGAACTGAAATCGTGTGCAGTGAACAAATTATGAGTTTTAGCCTCATTCGATGTCACGTAATTGTACAAAATATATATACTATACAGGCTATAACGATTCATTGAAAGATCTGCTCGAGAGCCTGTACCTGCTGCTGGAACTTCTTGTGGAACTCCAGTGTCCGAATCTCGCGAGAGGAAATATCAACGCGCAATCGATCATCATCATGTGCTCTGGCCATCACGTATTCCATTGGGATATCCTGACATCTTTGCAAAGAGGCGCTCAGAATGCGCTCGGCTATCCAATACAAACGGTCCTTCTTACGGTGATCCCTCTCCGGCTCTGAGCGTCGTTTGAAAATTACGCTAGACATACAGTTCAGGATCGACTGATGGCAGGTGTCCTCTGTGGGCGTTGTTCTCCGTCTGGTGCTCTTATTTCTGCTCTTGGTGGTCAGAGCTGCTGCCAAAAGCTTAGCACTGATTTGATCCTCCTTGGCAACGACCGACAGGTCCAAGTAATCTGAGTTCTCATCCATGATCGCATAAGCATTGCAATCTGGCAGTTCCATCAGTGCCTCGTCAGCATTGTAGAACCTCAGACCCAAGGGACTTCGGGGTTTCTTCGGAACCTTCTGCTCAACATCGCTGGGATATTGTAGCCCAATGGAGGCAATCGATCTGGTAATGAAGCAATCCTTACTTCCCTCACTTTTGCTGTTAACTTTCTCCGACAGGCTGCTGCATCGTGCTGTCTTAATGCTAATGGGACTATTTCCCCGATCTTGATATGTCTTGGGCACACTTCCACAGCGACGCTGACGACGCTGATGATGATGGCGTGTGCCGCGGCACAGATAATCTGTTGGCAGGGAAGATCGCGATATCGTTGATCTTGTGGAACTCTCGCTGCAGGTTGGATAGCCGGTGTCATCTGCCATTTCTCTATCACTGCATTCCGCTTGAGAGATCTGCTTCTGTTCGGCAGATCGATAGGAATGGAATTCTTGCAGGCTTCTTGGTGAGCAGCTCGAACTGCTAACTAATTCCCTTGGTGAGAGTTTAGGCGACAGTTCTCCATTAGAGCTGCAACACGATTGCGCTTCGTTCTCTCCACTCTGCTCTGAATCAAACTCTGCCACATCGCTGGTTATCGATCTTCTATAGGAGCTCCTCACGCTATCTATGGCATCCTTGGTCTTATACTCGTTTATGATCCTCAATTGCTCCTGAATGAGAGCATCGTAATCGAGCTCACCGAACGACTGATCATCGGAATCTTCAGCCTCAACAGAACTATTCTCCTCTTCCGAGTCCGTTTGCTGTTCCTCGCTATCGGGTTTATCCAACGATTCCAAAAAGGCACTGAGCTTCGTTTTGATGCTATCATAACTGAGCTCATCTGTCCCTGATTCTTCGGGATGCTGTGCCACGTCACTCCAGGCCTCGGAACTCAAACTTCTGTCTATGGATGGCTGCGATTCCCCGTCAGTTCGATAGGCCCAATCTTCGGGATAGTCCGATGAATGCCCCTCCCTGGTCTTATGTATAGGAGACTTATTCAGATGGTAGGCACGACAGAGTTTGTCTGCCCTCTGCTGACGCACTATGGACTCTTCGTAGATCTCGCTGTACACTTGGCTGTAGCTCAAGGAGTTGTCAGTGGATTGGTCGCTTGTACAAGATCCGGATATATCCTGATCACTCGCAGCATCTATTTCTTCCTTCTGGTTGCTGTCAGAGTAATCAATTGTCTCTTCGGAGGGCTGTTCTTCGGAGGTGTAGCAAACATCTGGTCTGATTTGCGCCTCTGCCTTGTGATAGAAGTTCCTCTTGGAGACCTTTTCCCTGAGCTCACTGTCCAGTTCTTTGATATTGTGATCCATGGCTGCATCCTGAGCTTTTATGATTTGATTCACATACTCATCTGCTCTCTCCCAGCAGGCCTTGATGATTTTCGGATCGATTGGTGTCTTCTCCGCAGTACATTTTCTGTTGTCCGGCTGTTTCTCTTTTGTTCTCTCTTGGCCTACATCGGCAGAGTCTTTGTTTAGTAGAATATCCTCATCTTTACCCACCTTGGGGAGATTCGTTTCAGTGTAGGGCCTATCATCTTCATTGTGGAGTTCGGCATCGGCATCATTATGGGTAAAGATCTCCTTAAATCGTAGATTACTGATGAAGCATTATTGATGGAGCAGGAGCGTAATATTCCCTTCCTAACTTACCATTTTATAGACTGTGCGTCTGTTCGTGTAGCTGTATGTGAAATGTGTTTTGCTGCCCGACTTTACTTGACAGCAACGACAAGATTTGCTGAGATTAGCCAGCAGTTCCCTAGTTCTCCCCCTATCCCATCGATTTCATCACAATAATGACCTTTGCTTTCAGCGGGCTCATCAATTACGGCCAACCGAAAACCCAAAACTTGGCAGCCACAAGGGAGCCAAGAGCCGTGTGGACCACGAAACACCAAACTCAATTAGCCCAGAACGAAGGGGAAAATTTTAAGTAAAGTCGCCCCTCAATCAGCACGCGGTGAACTCCACCTTGCCCACACACCACGAACCACCACGAACCACCACGAACAGCCGAAAAAGTGCAGTCAGAATGGGGCAAGGGGCAGAGACACGGGCGGGGCTTGGGGCGTTTTGGGGGCACTGCAACTGTGCTTCAACTTGGGGCTCCATTAGTGTCACTTAGCAGCTAATTATGCTGCGCCTGTGAATTACTTTTTAATTTGTTGCTCTGCGCCCCGTACCAAAACAAAAATAAACGCCAGCCAAGAACCTCAAGTGGCCAAGAGCAAGAGCATGGCCAGAAGAGTGCCGAGTGCCGGGTGCCGGGTACCGGGTACCGGGGGCCGAGAGCGAGCCACAAACAGAAACTCAAGTGGCAAATATTTCCATTGGAGTTTTGGCAGCCAGCTTGGCTGCTCTGCTCCCTCTATTCTCCATCTCCAACTCCATCTGCAGCTCCATTTCTGGTCGGTTCTGGGCTCCCTTTTGGGTCGCTCCCTCCCGTTTGGTCCGTCTGTTTGGCGCGTGCTGTGGGCGTTCTCTTTCATTTGTGTGCTGCCCAAGGGCCCAAGACCTTAGACTCTGGCATTTCTGGGAGCTCTGGCTCCCAATCTGTGGAAGCCTGGTGGCAAAATGGGCGTGTGTAGATGTAGAAATTATGTTGTTGGTCCAGGGCAAGCCGAAGTAAAGACTTAAAGGGAAGATGAAACAAAGCTTCAGGGGAAATGCCTGTGTGGATGAAGGTATTAGCAGTGGCAGTGATTATGCGATCGCTCAGGATGTTCAGATCGCTGGAAGGGCTCAAGAGAAAACTGTAAATACTTTCTTTAATTGATTTGTCAGTTAATAGTACGGGGAGGACGTGGATCCATCTGATAGACATAAGGAGACCTCCTGTAAATCACGACAATTGTTTTATTTTAAGCAACATTTCCAGAGTACTTGTAATTCTTTTTCTCCTACTCCTACGATCCATTGTCGCTTGTTTACCTTTTGATGTTCACGCCTCTGGTGGCACACTTCAAGTCGCTATGGCCATGTTCCAAGTGTTAATTAGACAAAACTAATTAAACATTTTACGCACACACGCTCCGTTTAGGGACAGGGACAAGCCAGAGAGAAGAAGGAGGAGGAGCAGGAGCAGGAGCAGGCGAAGGCGAAGACAACGGCGCCATATCATCAGTGGCAAAGTCGCCTCAATCAATGATGCCTTGACGGAATAAAAGAGGGAACAGGGCCTAAGGGGGGGAAGGCTCGGACCAAGAGTGCAGGCCAAAAGCGGCAAAGACACATTTATTAAAGTCGCTCAGAGGGCATAAATCGTTGAATGACATGCGACAAACGTCCGAGTTACATTCTGTGCGGTGCGATTGATACGACAATCGAACGACGGAGCGACGATCACCGATCACCGATCGCCGGTCGATGGTCGATGGTCGCCGGTCGATGGTTGCCTGGATGGATGATGATGATGGGTAATTAAAAATTGATCACGTTTAACAAACTGCTACCGAAACAATATATCACAAATGATCAGTTGGCGCAGGAGCAGGAGCAGGAGCAGAAGGACGGGGTGGAGGACTTGACAAAGTCACAAAACTTGAGCAGCTTCGATTCGGTTATATGGACATATCGATCTGGTTGAACTGCCACATTAAGTCAAAGCTCTGGTTACATTTCAGCTCGGAGAGTTCCCTCACCTCCTTACAGTTCTTCTTTTGCTTTCATTTTTTTGTGGTTATTGTTGATCAGTCCATCAATAATTCATTATGGTTGAGTGATCTATTCAGCAGAGGAGCCAATCCGACCATCCACCGACATCCACCGATCGATCGATCGATCGTTCGTTTCTTCCATCGATCGCGAGAAAAAAGATATTCCGCCTGTCAGCCAGGGGCCGGGGCCCGTCCTGGCACAAGTGTTTCTTTTTGTTCCGTTCCTCAGCGTTTTTTGAAAGCAAAATTGTGCCATAAATATAATAAATACATATCGAAAGAGCGGAGGCTTGGGGGGAGCCAGAACAATGGAACCGCTGAGGTTCCGCTCATTATTAGCTAAGAATTGAAGGACCCTTCAGCATGGGTGTTGGTTTTTTCATACAAAGCCGTATGGAAGTTTTGATTGAACACCGCCGCCGGACAAGACATACTCCAGAATGCTATTGATGAATGCCAGCAATGCGGTAGGGCGATGGATCACATCGGTATCACATCATCGAATGTGGAGGGAATCCGAAAACCAGACTCCCTCCTCCGCTCTGTGGCTCGTTGCATAACCCCCCTTCGGCGACTTGGGCAAACTTTAACCCTTGAGAGATTTGCGACGAGGTGTTGGATAAAACATAAAGTTCGTGTGAATGCCGACACGTTGTGACAATTGTTTGACAACAGCAACAATAAGGGAACAAGCGACAACCGCAGACATGGAGAACTATGAAAAGGTCGTCAAGAGACAACCGCATGACTCGCCCACAATCATCGATAGCATTTTTGTTGTTTAAACGTGCCACGAGTCGCCCGCGAACATTCAAAATATGCAAATGCCACAGCCAGACAGGGGAGCAGGCCTGGGCCTGCACTTCCACTGGCCCTGGCACTGAGACAGAAACCAAACCAAAGCAATCCTATCCAAGCCAATCCAATCCAATCGTCCTATGCCATCATCAGGCTTGCCTTTGTCGCCAGTTTCGTTGTGTGTGTGTGTGGAGGACTCATTGTACGTTTCTCTTGCTGCTCTGAGTTCTCCGAATTTTTTCGAGCAAAAAAAATTATATTAATACCAAATTAAATCCACCTAATCACATTGACAAGCGGGACAAATCTTGGCAGACTGACGGGCAGACAGCTCTGGACAGCGATTATTCGTCATCATGCAAAGAGAGGGTATACATAAGTTCTCTTTCCATCTTATTTAATTTCGAGATCTGTTTCGCTTCCTGGACGAATGAAAGAAGGAATTATGGCAATAGTTTTTAGTTTTTAGTCTTCATTTTGTCTGTTGGGTCCCTTCAGTTTTATTGATAGCCAAAGATTTAATTGTGTGAATACTTCATAGATACCTTCATAAGTAGCCTATAATTTAGTCCCTCTAAGTGCTTCCACACACCCCCAAATGGATTATACCCTACCCCACTTCCACTTACAACGCTGTCGGCCCCTTCCCCACTCGGTCTGCCTCCCCGCCTGAGCCTGCCTTTGGATCTTGTTGGTCCAGCGTTGTGGTTCTTGTTGTTCGGGGCTGGAACAACACCAAGAGCATATTGATATCGTGCATATTGATCTTGTTGGGCGATAAGTCTGCGCTCAAATACCTATATATATATAAATATTTTCATCGCTGGGCTTAAGCTTCCACTTCCATGGAAGTTGATCGCATAAAATCCGCAGAGGGAGAGGGAAAACAAAACAAAACAAAACAAAAAAACAAAGACTCCAGCTCTGTATTGGCATTAGAGCTGCGGTCTTCGGAGTTGGCCAGTAGTTGGATTGGATTATTTTTTGCTTTTGGGTTTGTTTGGGCTTATGCTTTGCCTTTTTGCAGTTGAACTCAGGGCCAGAGCAAGACCAGGACGAGGACCGAAGACAGAGGACGGAGGATGGAGGACCGAGAACTAAGGCACATGTGCCCCAGACATTCTCACACGACCAGCTGTGGAATGGCGATTGGGGGTACGGGAGAGTCTGGAACTCGGACTGGGACTGAGGCTGAGGCTGACTCGATTGCGGTCTCTCTTCCTAGACCGCAACTATAAATTTCATAAACAGTTTGGCTTTTGGTCTGCCATTGGGACTTGCCTTTGGCACTGGAGTTGCCTTTTTGGCTGAAGGTCTTTGCATTTCTGCGAATTAATATTCGTGTGATTTTTTATCGTTATTTGATTTCGGCCAAATGTATTGGCCATATGAGTCAAAGATCTTGCCATAATTATTGCCATTGCAGGGCTAGTGAAAGGTATCGAAGCAAAAGCCTTTCCAAAAAAAGAAAAGAATCCCATCATAAATTTCTGCTAATGGTAGAGAGATAATCGTGGATAGAGATAAATGATAAATGGGATAGATAATAAATCGATTGCTAAGTTAGCAGGGAAAGTAAAGATCTCCGTTTCTAAGTGTCCCTCCAAAAAAAAGAACTAAAGAGACCTTTTCCCATATCTAGCCCTTGAATGACTGGCACCCAGGTAATACCCCCCGAACATTCCTCCCAAGTACTTCCTGTAAACTCTTCAACCCATTAACCCCCATTAAGATTGCCACAAACATGTGTCAAGCAATTGCCATAAATGTCCGAGAAATTAACATGAGCTCAAAGTGTAAGCCCAATCCCCCGAGTGGCCCCAAAAATAGTCATTAAGTGGCTAAGCCTCAACTTTAACCTTTTTAATGGCAGGCCGCTCCATAAAAGTCCTCCCCACACACACACACACACACACACACACACACACACGCAGTCCTTGGTAAATTAGCCAAAGTCATAAATGGGCCAACATAAAATGCCGGGCGACTGGCGAAGATCTCCCTGTAATTATGCAAAACATTTCAATATGTGCAGATGGATTATGGATTGGACGTGGAGGGGCGTTTGCAGAAATTAACTTATTAATTCAACAAGTTGGGAATTTCAATTTGGCCGATTGGAGGCCCTTTTTATGGTTCTGCAACGTTTTAGTTATTAATTTCATTCGCAAACGAAGCTCTCGCGAACACACGGCGTATGTGGAATGTATGCCTGTATCCCCCTCTTATTCTCTAATGAGAGACAGGGTCGTATAGATGGAGTGGGAGAGGGA